CAATTCAGTTGTTATTAAAAGCTTTGATTAAGGAATGTTATGTATGTTATGAAGAAATATTGATCGTAAGCATTAATGCAATCCATGTTTGTGCATGTGTAGCTCGGCTGTGAGGAGCAGTTGCAGCAGAAGTTGTTGGATGAGCAGTTTGCCCTGTTGCGGGGTACAGTAACTGAGGCAGAAATCATCATTCAGGATGCTGTGGCCAAAGTGGATGATCCTTTGCATATCCGCTGCACAAGCTCCCCAGGTACTTGAGATTTGCATACCTCTCCATGCTGAACCCAAATTATATCCTGAAACTCAGTAAAAAAAAAAAAGTCTTCTTATAGCATGAAGATCTAGATTAAAGGGGAAAGTCAAGGAAATTTAATGTCTTTCCTTCTTTCTTTAGATTACCTCGTTAGCCGTGCAGAAGCCGCACTGGGCTCAGTGACTAATATGCAAGCTGGCCACTCCCACTATTTGAAGAACATGGAAGGTATTTTTGTGTGTTTTTACCTTGTTTACCTACCTCCCTTTCTCCCCTTTTCAAATATGCCTTTGTATATATAATTTGTACAGTTTTGCAGTAATCAATATTATACATGGGTGATATTCTTATCTATTACCTCTATTTACCTATTTTTGTAAATAGTTGCCCTTTTCTGTCTTTCTGACCAGATGCTGGGCCTCTGCTGAGGTCTCTGACTCAGTTTTCTCATCTTACTGCTGACACCATTATCAATGGGAGCGCAACAGCGCACATGGCACCTGCAGATCTTGCTGATCGTAAGATTGAAATAAATTAAACACATGGGCAAACAGCAAAACTCAGCGCTTTCAGTATTATATCCTATATTTCTGTAAATTTGCTTGCATTCCTATGGGTGCTGTGTCACCCAAGTCAGCTGGTGGATTTAACTGGCAAGTTGTTGTGTATGGTGTGTGCAGGATTGATGGAGAACTGCAGGGCATGTGCCACTCAAAGCTTAAACTTTCTACAGGACCTGAAGTCTAAAGTTTCCATAAAGGGTGCTGATCCAGCATCTGTTCGTATTGTGATTCAGAAGGTCTTGCAAATTGCACAGGTGAGGCAGAATATACATCAGAAAATGAAAAATCTTTACAATGAAGGTGAATTTTTTTCTTCCTACATGCTAACTCTCAGGGCCCCAAGAGGAGATGATGATAACCTTTGTATATATATATATATATACATATACATACATACATACATACATATATATATATATATATATATATATATATATATATATATATATATATATATATCACATGTAATTTAAAGTTCAAAATCTTCCATTGCAAGCGCCAAATTGTATTCCCAAGATCTCCTGTGTAGTACTTGTTTTTTTTTTTTTTTTTTTTACTGTTTGTTCTGTAGGATTTTGTTGTTTGTTGTTACTGTAGGAATGTGTTGTATACACTATATGGGCAAAAGTATGTGGACACCTGACCATCACTAACACGTTTGTGCTTGTTAAACATCTCAATCCAAATCCATGGGCATGGAATTAGTCCCTGCTGCTGCTGTAATATCCTCCACTCTTCTGTGAAGGCTTTCCACTGGATTTTGGAATGTGGCCCATTCAGCCACAAGAGCATTAGTGAGGTCTGGCATTGATGTCAGGTGAGAAGACCTCATGCGTAGTCAGTGTTCATTCCAAAAGTGTTCAATGCAGTTAAGGTCAGGGCTCTGTGCAGGCCAGTAGAGTTCTTCATCACCAGCCTTTGCAAGCCTTGTCTTTATGGATCTTGATTTGTGCACAGGGTCATTGTCTTTCTGGAACAGGTTTGGGCCCCTTAGTTCCACTGAAGTGAGATCTTAATGCTGCAGCAGACAAAGAAATTCTAGACAATGTGTGCTTCCAAGTTCGTGGCAACAGTTTGGGGAAGGAACACACAAGTGTCCACATACTCTTGGCCATATAGTATATTTGTTTGTACTGGCCTATTGGTGTTTTTGTGTGTTTTTTTATTTTTTTGTTTGTTTTTTTTTTTTGACCGTCCAGCTGAAGATCGGTGGGGTTTTTTCCCTAGCCAGTTTCAGCTGGCTTGTTTAATTCTGTGTTTGAGTAGTAAGAGTTTGCCAATAAAAGACCAAGTGCATTTTTTTTTAAGACTGCTGTCTGGTCAAGCTTCTTCCTCATCGATGCCACAGTATTTATGATGAGGTACTAGTGAGATAACTAAACTAAATCTTTGAGAATTACTACAAATCATAAGAGAATCCCTGAATCACTATTAACTTTATGGGTGATATAGAAAAACATCTTCCACTGTCTGAACTGCAGGTGCTCAGGATATACCAGATATACCTGAGATAAGCAGTTTATTAATGAACATTGAGTGTATATGTACATCCATTTAGACTGTAATATATTTACTTCTATTATATTATCTGTATTTCTCTGTTATTCTTGTTTGTTGCACCTTGTCTCAGGACCTAAGGCCTAAAGGAGTTGATGTCGGAAGGGAGGAGCTGGGAGACATGGTAGATAAAGAAATGGCTGCCACTTCTGCTGCTATAGAGGAAGCTGTGAGGAGAATAGATGTAAGTTTAACGCACACTTATTTACTAAGATTTTTTACATCTTCAGCCAGACTACTGTAACTGTTTTTACCAGCATGTTTGATAAACTTGCTTCTTATTTAAGTAACTGACTTTATAGTGGATGGTCTTTTCTAGACAGAGTCATGGTTGTGCCATATTGTGCCATATTTCCATTTTTTAAAATTATGTATTTAATGGAGTTCTGCAGGACATTTGGGAGTTTAGGATATTTTTTATAACCAAACCCTGACTGATGCTTTTCTAGAACTTTATCCTGGATTTGTTTTGATAGCTTCTTGGTCTTCATGCTGCTCTTTTTTAGATATGTTTTCTAAAAAACTTTGCAGTGTTCTAGGAACAGGTGTATTTATAATGAGATCATGTGACACTTTATGTTAATTCTGATGGAAACTGGTTACACCAGAACTAATTTAGGGGTTTCACAAAAAACAGAATGAAGGCCCAGTAGGCTAATGGTTACAGGCATTTTTCTTTCTTCTCACATTCAGCAACCAGAGAACAAAATGCCCTACTCAGTACTGACTTTCAAAAAAGCAACCTACAAAGAGATAAAATTATCAGTTAGGATAAAATGGTAGGTATGCTAAGTAGGTGTACCTAATAAAATGTTAACAGAGTGTATAAATTGTATCAAGTATGATATGTTTGCAGGATGTATAATTACATTTGTATTGCCATTGATTTGCCATGCTGTTGCTCTGCCTGCAGGAGATGATGAATCAGGCCAGAAGAGACACTGAAGGAGTCAAGCTGGAAGTGAATGAGAGGTAGACATTATTCGTTTTGCACTCCTTCAGAATTATTCACCATTATTCGTTTTGCACTCCTTCAAAATATACATGTAATCTGATATCAAATTTAGACATAATGATGAGTTAATTAAAAATAAATTTCACACCTATTATATAATATGAGCATGGACAGTTAACTCACCAGTATTAATAATCAGTATGATTTGAAGTGATTTTGAGAGTTTACATTCCCGCCCCTCAGTAGCTATGTTTACACGCAGCCTAATGACCCCTAATAATCAGACTGATCAGTCAGAATAAAAAAGGCTCAGTCGGTACAAAGTAAATAGATTGAGAGCAACCCAAAAGAGATTTCTATACGATCTAATGAGGTGGGTAAATTTTCATTAATCTGTTACTGTCTGTTACCATTAGTCTGGTTACTTTCTTTATCGGAATCAGTGCACGCATTCCGTGCTGTGTGTTTGAGTCATGTTGCATTCCAGTTACAATAAAATGGTCATATAAGAAAACACAGTGAATGTTATAGATTTTATGTCAACAGAAGTTGGATTGGCCTCAAAACTAAAATTTTGATTTACTGTAGGTGCACTATTAACAGACCTCAGTAAAGTCGGCTCAGTGTTTGATATTTATTTGACATTCACAGAGGATGCACAAGGAGAAAAATGTTGATAACACTATTATTTCTTGTGCAGTTATTCCCAAACAATGGCTTTTAATATTGGTACCGTTAGAAAATGAGTAAAGGGTTTATACCGATGGATAATGTATGCATTTTATGTTATTTTTAACAAGCAGTGCACCGTTGTTCCTGAATCTCAGGAACATTTTTATTTCAGTAATAAAGTCTTCTTCTTGCTGTCCATTCATTTAGATAATTTAAAACGACTTAAAAACACATGCAACTTCATTAAAAAATTAACCTGCTGACCAGATAATTCCAGATCTTTCTGGCTCACTTTAACCTCTGCTGACACTAGAGATTTAAATCCTGTTGGTTGTTTCATCACATGCTCCTTAATGCACTGTGTATTATTCACTTTTAGAATACTGAATAGCTGCACTGACCTCATGAAGGTAAGATGGCAGAGTTTAAAAATGATCAATCAGTTCTCCTAGTGATGATTCTTTCTCTTTCCTCAGTACTATTATATCTTTTGCACCCATATCTTCATGCGTTCTCTTTTGCCTGTTTTTTAGGCTATCCGTCTCCTGGTGTTGGCATCCACAGACCTGCAGAAGGAGATTGTAGAAAGTGGAAGGGTAATATTTTAAAAAATAATTTATTATAGTACTATAGTACAAAACATTTTTATTTTATTTTACCTTCTTAATTAATTGTCTACTCCCCCCAACACACACACACACAGTAAAGAAACATGAGATTTCAGAAGAATGTCCTTTATGTCCTTTATCAGCTGTGCAAGCAAAGTGCTTCTGAGGCTGTAGAAGTAGAACCAGTAGATGTTCAAAATGAATTGAATTTTCCACAGGTGGATTCCAGTCCAGTTCTAGAGATATCTCAAGATAATTAAAGCAAATTAAAGTTTCATTTAAAGCAAGAAATTATTGTGTGTACATTGATGCCAAAAAAAGTCAAATTAATCCATTTTAATTTAAATTACATTTTAAATTACATCTATAACACTATAAAATGTGCAGTTTGGTCCCTGGTGGACTAGTGGTTAGGCCACAGCCCTCTCACAGCTGTGGCCTGGGTTCAATACCTGGCCAGGAAAGCAACCCCAGCCACTGACAGTGTGCTCTCAGTGCTGGTCCCAAGCCTGGATAAAATTGGGGAGGGTTGCATCAGGAAGGGTATCCAGCGTAAAAACTGTGCCAAACCAAATATGTGGACCAACGATCCGCTGTGGCGGCCCCTAATGGGAGCAGCCGAAAGAGGAACAAACAACACAATAAAATGTGCAAAAACCAAAGGGGGCCAGTGTTTTTAATGTTATGGCTGATCAGTGTATACTCACTGTATATTAGGATCACCTGTTGTAGCCTCAGATTACTTTTCTTGACTGACTGGGGTGAAAACCTGATGTGGTCTTCTGATGTTCTAGCCTAACTGCCTAAAGGTTTCACATGTTGTGCCTTCAGAGTTGCTTTTCTGCTCACCACAGTTCTAAAAAGTGATGTTTACATTTACATTTGGCAAACATTCATGACATGACATTTGGCAAATGCCCTTATCCAGAGTGACTTACAAAAGTGCTATAAAAAAAAAGAAAAACACCTTCCTCGTGCTAGTTCATTTGGTCATACATACAGTGCATATGAAAGGTCTACACTCTCCTGTTAAAACTGCACAGTTTTACACATTAAATCATGCCAGATCAACCAATTCAAGTGAAAACATATAGAAATGGTTTAGGGGGAAAAAAAGAAAAAAAATTATAATAACCTGGTTGTATAAGTGTGCACATGCTTTAACTAAAACCAGCACATTTTGCTCAGTCTTTTTGGGAGTCTACCAACTTAGCACATCTTGATTTGGCTATTGTATTCCAGATTTCCTGGAGCAAAATTTTAATATTGTATTTTTCATATTTCATACTTATTTCATACATAATTACAAGTACAGCATGCACACACACACACACACACAGTGTATATTGTCATTTAGTGTATATTATTTACCTAGATTTCTTGGTTTGTTTGTTTGTTTATTTTTTAGAATAATTAAATCTTGACTGCTTTCCTAGGGTGCAGCAACAGTGAGGGAGTTTTATGCAAGAAACTCTCGCTGGACTGAGGGTCTCATATCTGCTGCCAAGGCAGTAGGCTGGGGGGCAACACAAATGGTGTATGTATTCCTACCAAATATCAGCCAGTACTGTTAGAAAGTACAATTTTTCTTAATTGGATCAATTAAGTGACACTTCCTTAGTTATAGTGAGTTTCCTAGTAAGACCATGGAATTCTCTTTGCTTTCTCACTTTCTCCCCTCTCAGTGATTCTGCTGATAAAGTGGTGTTACACACGGGCAAGTATGAAGAGCTTATTGTCTGTTCTCATGAAATCGCTGCCAGCACAGCACAACTAGTTGCAGCTTCCAAGGTTTGAGATTAACAATAAATTTCTTGTTTTTTATAATAATAACAACAACAACAACAATAATAATAATAACAATAATAATAATAATAATAATAAATTGATTATGTAGATTTTTCATATTGTTAAAAAGTGCTTTATAGGCAAAGGCAACTAAGAATAGTTCTAAACAGGTATGCTTACTGCTATAGCATTCCAAGAGAGTCCAAGAGAGCAAAATTGGCCATGCTCTCCCTGTAAATCAGAGCATCATTAATCAATTCTGGGCATCTGTGACTGTGGAAGAAGGCAGTTAGCACTTTCTTCTGAATGGATTTAGCTGCCCTGTGATGTAGTAATAAGCAGCGTTTCAAAAAGATGCAGTGGCTGGCTTCATGTGTCTTGGAGGAAGCATGTGTTAGCATTCACCCTCTGTTTCTAGCAGTTGCGTCATTTTAAAAAACTGAATTTGAATATGGCTATTGAGCTAGCATTTCTAATGTTTTACTGAAAGCCTTGGAAAGATCGTACCCTCTATAAAACTAAATATAACATTTCCTTACACAGATTACTTATTTATGGCTACTTGTGTGTTTTTTCAGGTAAAGGCAGACCGTGGCAGTAAAAAATTGTTGAGTCTTCAGCAGGCATCTCGCTATGTGAATGAGATGGCTGCTAATGTGGTAGCTTCCACCAAGACAGGCCAGGAACAGATTGAGGAAAAAGGTACGTGTGGCTGTGTGTGGGTGGGTGTTTTAAGCAAGAGAGCAGCATCCATGTTTATAAAATTCAGGCGTGCTGTTAAAACTGTGTTTTGCCTAGTGTAGCAAAATTTTATAATGCTGATGGGACTGTTCATGCTCATGTTTGGAGTGTTAAATTTGTTAATTTATTATTAAATTTAATTATTTAATTAGATTAGGTTGCTGCAGTTTCAGCTGTCATTGTATGCTATATAGTGTAGTACAGACTTTGTCAAAAACGCTGGCACCCTTAGCGTTCTGCAAAACATAGCCAGGGGTTCAGTGATTTTTTTTTTTTAAATTTGTTACTGTGGTGAAAATCATCCCACAATTATGAAAGCTGTTATATTTATGAATGGCTATAGTTATTAGCCATTTTGAATGGTTACTTGAATTATAATGGGTTTAGTCCAAACCTCAAGAACTCAAAAACAAGTAGACAAATAATGTCTACTTGGACCTAATATCTCCTGCTGGTAGAAAGAATTACCAATAATGAGCCAAATATTTGAATATTTTAAATGAATAAATCTGTCAGTGTAATTTATTTTAGAATTAAATGGGTCCCTGATTGTACATAATATATAGATAATGTATAATATATAGAGAGCACGCTGGTCACATGATCAAATTATTTTGTGGAGAGCCTGCACTATTACCATGAATCATCATAACCATTAAAAAAGAGTGCTTCCGTAGCTTTCAAACGACACCACCCCATACCTCTTTCGCTGACTTTGAAGCTCTATTTCTGGTTAAAATGATGCCTCAGGCTCTCTTACGGAGCTCATTATCTTTCAATTAATCATTTTCCCTAGGTAGATCAGAGACTGTTTATTCAATCAAATTTTGGGGAGAATTTATAAATTGATTTATTTATTTTTAAGATAAGGTGAACCTATAGCACATTTTGTTTACAATATTAAATGTCAGTTTATAGCAAATTTTGATTTATTTAGTTTTATACGGATAAAAGTGCAAATTGTCTATGATTCAGAAATAAAAAAAGGAGTCTCTTTAGTCGTTTTAGTTAATTTTTCTTCATTAAAACTTTATTCAAAATGTTCTGAGAATGGAATTGAATCAAATCATGAAGCCAGTGTTATGAATCGAATTGTGACTGGAGTATATCATTACATCCCTGTTGTAACGTGTAGACTTAGGACAACGGAGTTGGGGATCCAAACGCAAGGCTTTATTCCAATCGTGGTCAAAACAGGCAGGGTCGAGCACCAGCAAACAGTAAAATCTGAGGCAAAGGCAAAAGAGTAATCCAAAACACGGGCAATGGTCAGGGCAGGCGGCAAACAATCAAAAACAGGGAAAACAGTCCAAGGGTCCAA